GTGTACCGTGTTGGTACATACTGTTTTTTACTTAAAAAAATGTATTTTTTTATTTTAGAATAGAAATAAATAGTTATACACATTCTTATTTCAAAATTATTAAAAAAAATGTTCCGGTCTGACAGAAAACTTATATCATGATGATCCGGGGCTTAACGTGTTAATTTAAGCGTTTTAATTATATTTCATAGAAATAGAACACCGAATTATGATGGTATTATCGTAAAAAACACTATACTTAAGAAGAAAAAGCAGCAGAGGAAGCAAAATTTTAACTTTATAGAAATCTTGAGATTGTGCAAACCCTGGCTTTTTAACTTTTGTTTGGAAAGTAATAATAAGAATATGACCGTTGTGAGGTCACACTCCGGCTGTCCATTAGCACATGAAGAGACAATTATTTGTCGAATAAGTTGTCATCGTCATATGTCATTTGTCAAATTGTAGTAAATAATATTATGTTGAAAAGTATTTCTGTTTGTCCGATGCAAACTCTCGAACGATTTCCACAAATAAATTAGCAAAATCTCCATTGCTGACATAAAAGATTAAAATAAACAAAACTGTGAACGATTATAACGAGTTTAAATGAGTTTATTTATATGGCTACATATGTTAACTTCAAACGCAACGAATCAGAAAAAATTTAAAAACTTTTGGATACTCGCCACAAGTTAATATATACAGAGGTGTCTATTAAATTAGAACACTAGAGCAGAAGAGATCATTCAAACACAAAAAGACAGACTCTACATATATAACTTTAAAACGCATAACTTGGCATGGGAACAGTTAACATATATCACATCACTGTGAAAATTTAAAAAGACAGTAAGCATTCAGTATGTTATTTATGAAATAAAATATTCAAATTTGCATTCTTAAAATTACAGCCTTAATAAAGATATTAAAAAATATAAAGTTTATGTATAATCCGTAAAATCTTCCATATATTTGTTTTTGACCTCCTCGTTACTTTTTTCGTTTTGATAAATGCTTTCATTGTTCTTCTGATCCTGAATAGCTCTGTTCCTGATCTTTTTAATCTGTCTTAACCTTTCGATCCAATTGGAAGCTGCTGGTTCGTTGGGATGTTTTAAAGATTTTGTTACTATAGATGCCATCTAAAAAATAAATATAATAGGTACTAAATTGAATTATCTGTGGCATCTGTCTTTATATCTGAGAAATTATAAAAAATACTCACATTAGTATGTAGAGCTATCTGCCTTGCGAATATTCCCACATTTTGATCTGATACTAATTTTGGTTCGCTAGATGCAATCAAATTCGCTAGTTCTTCTTTTACCTTAACAGTAACTCTGTTGATGCCCATATCTAAAGGCTGAATAATTATGCAAGCAAATGTAAACTGACCCTAAAAAATAATATTTTTATTAAATGTTATAATTATAATATACGTATTATCCGTTGCAAGATAATTAGGATGGAATTCCCCAGATTTCAATGCTCGGGTAGGCAAAAAATTACAAGACAATGTGGTAGGAAGATATGGTGAAGACAAAATAAACAACAACGGAGAGCGTTGTGATCTATTTTTGGCTTGGGTTTACAAGTTTATAGTCTCTAATGAAATAGGTTGAGGACGTAAAAAATCTTTTTCCTAGTATCCCTCCTGCAGAAACTTTTATTCTAGTAAAAAACCTTTTAGACCAAAATAGTACAAATCCAATAATTACGTCTAAAATTTTACATCTTCTTGAAGTTTGCATAAACCAGGGACTACTTTGAATTTAATAATAAAATATATACAAATAACAGTGCATGACTTATAATGGGTAATCCTCTAAGCCCATTGCTATCAGATATTTTTATGGATCATCTAGAGACAAAGATTTCAAAACATCCCGTATTCAAACAGTTTTTATAATGGTGGAGATACGTAGACGACGTACTGGTATGTTTCACAGGAACTAACAGGCAACTCGACCAATTTTTATCGTATATTAATTCACTTCGTAGTCATATTGAATTTACAATAGAAACAGAACAAAATCAATCCATAAATTTTTTAGATTTAAAAATTAGCAGACTTCAAAACAAACATGACTTCTCCATATTTCATAAACCTACCCATACTGACACGACTATACACAATTCATCATTCCATACAACACAACATAAACTGGCAGATTATCATAGTATGTTACATAGATTAACAGAAATTCCGATGTCAAAATACAACTTTGAGACAGAATTAAATATAATTAAGCAAATAGCAGTAAACAACGGATACAACGAACAAACAATTAATAAAATGTTAAATCAAAAACTACACAAGAAAGCCCTGAAATTAGTATTTCCACCACCAGAGAAAAAACCCAGTACCTTCTGCTCGATTACATATACAGGCAAAATAACAACAAAAATTACCAAACACATAAAAAAGAAAGGAATAACACCAGCTTTCCGAACAAATAACAACCTAGGCAAATATATTAAAAATAACAAGAGCCAAAATAAAAAAACACTTAAATAGTGGTGTGTACAAACTTCAATGTGGCGACTGCCCAAAAACTTACATCGGTCAAACTGGTAGAAACTTTGATAAACGAATAGCAGAACATAAGCTTTTAAGAATAGAAAAACATATTCGACATACGCACTTCACCTTCTAGATCATAATCATTCTTTAATGACAAATTTAAAATTCTTCACATTCAAAATAAAGGCCTTAAGCTATCTTTGTTAGAATCTATGGAAATCAACAAATTAAAAAAACACAGATATAATTCTGAATGACCAACTTGAGACAAACAGTTCTCCCCTCCTCAACCTATTTCATTAGAGACTCTAAATTTGTAAACCCAAGCCAAAAATAGATCACTTGAGGAGAAGGCAATCAGCCGAAACAGCTGTAGTGATAAGATTTAAAATAAAATTTGTGGAAGTTTGAAAACAAAGTTTTCAGTGTTTTATTGTTACATAAAATGACGTAAGGGTGTATCGTGGTGCCGAATACGGATCTGACCACTATATGGTGGTCGCAAAAATAACCATACACTACAGGAAAGTAAACAAGAACAAAATTGAACAGGAGAAGGTAGCAGCTTCCACAAAGATAAGATATAATATTGATAGCCTAAAACAAGAATCAGTACAATTCCTCTACAAACTTAGACTAGCCT